TCGTTGCAGATAAAAAGCATGTATTTGCGATACCCTTCAAAACAATGCACGCCTAATCCGATCTCGACTGTTCGGAGCTTGTGCATTTTGATTGAGCGGATTGGATTCGAGAAGTTGAGAGAATATTCGACATATTGAGAAGTAAGTTTCTTCCCGTCAATGAGAAAAGGTGCTTCTGCCAGAGAAATATCAAAATGTTCGTTAGGGAAATGGAACAGCTAAAAAGGTACAACCTTTCAACCGTTAATAATAACAAAGATTGTAGGGGCTGTAATTTTGGAACCTTGCTACTGGCAAAATTAAGAGTCATAGGAATTCCACGAACTGCCCGATGTATGGTAAAATATTAAAGTTGCCAACACCGTCAGGCAGCAGGTATGATAATGTGATGTTACTGTTCTCAATGGAATACCCTACAGTTTCGCTAACAGCACTGACAAAACTATCAGAAATATATACTGTTTTTAACAAAGTAGCGAATTGCTCTTTCATGCCCATCCACAATACTTTTTTTCTCGGCGTAATTCCTACGCTGACCAAGAGGAGGTTTTTGTATTTAAAAACAGATGAAAAAAGATGTTTCCTCCAATGCTTTCCAAACTCTTTCATGAGTGTTATTATTTGTCACAAAGATACTCCTGACTTGCCAAAGTATTCTTCATCAATATTATGTAACGAGCTAAATAGGAGAAGCATACAAAAAGATGTTCAGTACTGCTCTTGATGAAGAAGTGTGTTTGTCCGATGAGGTACTGCACGTAGGCCGGAACAATATCCAGAAATGCGCCGAAATTATTAAAAGATTGGAATCGAAGTGTCTGTATTAATGCGGACCTGAAATGGACTTTATTTATGCATCTTTAAAGGCCTTTGTCATGCACCCGAAGCCACTCCAACCATTTCTTTTCCTTGCACAGTTCACTGTAATCCCAAAAACTAAAAATTCTTGCTGCATCGGTGTAGCAACAGAATTATCTGAAATTAGACTGAGGAACCTGGAATGCACGCTAAAAACTGGATCACCCGAGGCGTAGTCCCAGTCCTGTACCGCATCATCACTGAATTTGCTTGACTTGATGCGTAATTTCTTCATTCCTAAACTGTGCCGAAATGTTGTGACTGCGACCGATTTACACGTTTCCAT